ATATGTTACTTTGTTAACACGGAGTAATAATTCTAACTTGTACTGCATCTTTTTGAAGGATCACAAATTACTTTACTGCTGTCACTACAGAGCCACTGTTCAATCTTTCTGAGAAATTATAAAGGACACACAAAACACGTCTAAAGATGAAAGAAGGGAAATGCTTTCCCTATCTAATAAAAAGGAAAAGGGAGTGTCACAGGAAATTATAGACTGCTAGACTTATATGAGTACAGGAGCAAATGCTCAAACAAGCCATTTTAACATTGCATAAAATATGTAACAGGGAACAGAACCTTTTGAAGAGCATCATATTAATGAAAATATGTAGGTGTTTTTTTTTTTTGGCTTTTTTGTAGGAATGACATGAACAAAGCAGTTGTAATGACAATAAGGTTTCTAAGTCCACTGTGTTGAACAAGCAACATACCGCCATACACCAAAAGTAAGAAGGCATGGATCTAGCCTTGTCTGTTCCACAGAGTCCCCAGGAATTCTGAGTAAATCATTCATCCTTTATTTCTTGGATTCTCCTCCAGTAAAATCAGATAATAATTCCCACTTGTCAATGTATTCTGGACTAGAACCCTGAAGGAACTTAGAAGAGGGGTCCAAGATCCCAAGGATATTGGCATCTTAAATACATGCTAACTAGGGTGACTGCTTAGCTCACAGGATCCCCACCTGCTGGAATTAGCCCCCTTGATGCAGAAAGTTTGGGATAGAAGATGATCATATCTGGACTACAGGATCCTATTTTCTTAGCAACAATGTCCACAATAGCCAAACTATGGAAGGAGCCCAGATGTCCATCGACAGATGAATGGATAAAGAAGATGTGGTATACACACACACACACACACACACACACACACACACACACACACACACACACAATGGAATATTATGCAGCCATCATGAAGGATGAAAGCTTACCAAGTACATTGATGTGGATGGAACTGGAGGGTATTGTGCTGAGAGAAATAAGTCAATCACAGAAAGACAATTATATGGTTTCACTCATATGTGGAATATAAGAAACTGTGCAGAGGATCATGGGGGAAGGGAGGGAAAACAGAATGGGAAGAAATCAGAAAGGGAGACAAACCACGAGAGACTCTTAACTATGGAAAAGAAACAGGGCTGCTGGAGGGCAGGTGGATGGGGGGATGGGGTAACTGGGTGATGGGCATTAAGGAGGGTGCGTGATGTGATGAGCACTGGGTGTTACAGGCAACTGATGAATTACTAAACTCTACATCTGAAACTAATGATGTCCTATATGTTGGCCAACTGAATTTAAATAAAATAAATAAATTTTTAAAAAGGGATCTTATTCTCTTTGTCTACAGCTGATTAGTGCAGGCATAGACACTTCATTTAAACTGAGCTGATCATATTCTCTCTCCCAGGACACCAAATGGAGAGACAGAAAGGCAAAAAGGATTGGGAATGGTCAATCTAGAGAGTCAGAAGACATTTTAAAAATTATGAAATAATAGATAGAATAGATCATAGGGCAGTACTCTTGGCCCTCCCCCCATGCGTCGAGTGGAATTACTCCTGCTGGCTGTCACAGCCTTTCTTTTGAGGAATTGTATGAGACTGGGCTAAGAGGATGGCGCTGACCCACTGATTTGGGCAACCTACACACCACAGTGGTTCCTAAAAGTGGTCAGAAAGCATTACTAGTAGTAAGAATAGAGTTTGTTTTGTGAGACTCTTGTTTCATATGTATATTTATATAACTTATATATATTAAATACATAAGTAATATACATAAATAATATTTATACAATATCTAGAGATGTTTCTATAAATATTATGTTTACATTATACAATTACATTTATATACATTGATATATTATAAATTTCTTTTTTTTATTATTTTATTTATTTATTCATGAGAGACGGAGAGAGCTAGAAGCAAAGGGAGATCCAGGACGCTGGGATCACAACCTGAGCCGAAGGCAGACACTTGACCAACAGAGCCACCCAGGCATTCCTATAAATTTCTTATTGTGAGTTAAAAATATTGCCCTTGGTGAACTCCCACCTTCACCTAAAAATAGATTAGTACTTGTAAAACTAGTGTTGGTAAATGGCAGTAGCAACACATAATATAATATAAAGTTTATCTCAAAACAACTTAGAAAAGGTAGAAACAAGATGTTTATTTATAATTCCATTGACACCATTCCATTCCATTCCATTTCATTCCATTCATGACCCATTCCTGAGTTTAGTAAACAGAATAGATACATTTCCCCTTTTTTTCTTTCTTTTTTTTTTAATTTAAATTCAATTAGCCCTTTTTAAACTGGGCAGAGCCAGAAACTCTTAAACTCCAAACTGGACACGTTGTAAATGGAGAAAGGTCACATAAACTTCGGCTCATAATTTCATCTCTTAAACAAGGCCAAACAAATAATCATCTAAGGGCCCATTCGGACATCTGAGTCTAATCATTAATGCAAAGATCTGAAAGTTTGACTTTCACGTTTCATTACCTCTATCCTATCTACCATTTTACACTGGCTTTTTAAATTCTGTCATGTTATTGATCAATAATTGAATTGTAATCATATAATTTAATCTTTTAAATTAGATCTCTTAATTCCATATGGAAAATAAACTCATCATGATAAGTAAAAAAAATCAAAATTTCAAACAATTTTACATTTACATGATGCCTAGAAATATCAAGTATATTTATAAATCTCCCTTAATCCATTCAATCAGTCGTGTTGAGAGTCAACATGTGAGCCCTGTCAGTGCCTGGCCAATCCAGAAAGAATCAAACTCTATGACTCAGGGCTAAAAGGATAGTTTTTGATGCTTGAAAACCTGTCAACTACCTCATGATTTCTTCCAGCTTATGGATGTTCATTATAGTAGTATTCATCACTCTTAAAAATCCATCCATGACTTATCATCAAATATACTTCCTTCAATTAAAGGGTATCCTCCCTGATAATGTTTCCAAAAGTATACTTTTTTTCTTTTAAAAAGTGTGGAGTTATTAACAACTATGAGAAAACAGACTTGATCATCACATTCTTTGACAGATAGCATCTCTCTGCCTATTCTTTGAGACACCACAACCTTTTTATATTCCTGTTGTCTGTGCATGTGTATGACATCCATCACCATGAGCCATACCTGCTAGGGTAAAGATACGGTGCCATAGGGAGAGACATCGCTAGCCAAATCCCTTGTAGATTATGTCAGAGTGAAAGATGATGCTGGAAGCCTGCAGAAGAACAGTAGAAACTATGAGAGTCTAGGATACTTTATCTAGTTCGGAATTTGTGCAAAGCTCCTATGTTGAGTATTTTCTTGAACATTTTTCACATTCAACCTAAGCCAAAATTTTATCTTTAAGGCCAAATGATTCTACATCCCAAGTTACTCAACTAAGGGTATCTTTCAGTATTTGTTATCCAGTCTGATGGGTACATAACAATTCAATGCTTTTAGGGGAGCATCATAGTCTTATAAGAAAATGATATAAAAAATGGGAAAATAATATTGGCTTGTGATGGCCAATAGCTTTTTTCAGAGAGGGGAGCTGTTGGGCTTTCTGTTACCTTTATTCCAAATTTATTAACATGGCTTCAAGGTCCTTAATGATTTCTCTCTTATCTTCCATTATTGCTTCGTTAATGTGGTTCTTTAAAACATACCCTAAATCACATCCATGCCCAATAATTTTCAATTTGCAATTACCTTCATATACCATGCTTGAGGTGCATATGAGCCAGAAGGCATGCGTGGAGGAGAGCCATTTGGCTATGGTGGAACATTTATAACCACTTCAAAGTTAGGCTTTTGCATTATCTCCAGATGATATTACACATAGAGTCACATATGTATGCTGACAAGATATTCATCATTCAAATGTTCATCATATGATTTTTAATATGCCCCATCGAGGCCTATACTGCCTGGATGGCTTTTTAAAATAAATCCTGTGATTTCTTTGGAATATCACTTTTTATGTGTGTTAATGGTTTTAATGTATGAAAGGTAAACATTTAAAATTACCACAATTTTCATAAATTTGTTTTGGCATTTCTCCAGTTCGAATACTCCGAGGCCCTCAGTAGTTAGACATGGTCACAAGCTCTGCCTTGTTCTTTCACGTCTCACTGCCTTGGTGCTTGCCATGTCCTTTCTCCCCTTTGCTGTTCTTAAAGATGCAGCTCCAACCGACTGACACTCAAGCAGAAAGAGTGACTCCCTCCTCTTTGCTCTCATAGTATCCCTCTTTATTAGATCCATCACATTCTACATTCTGTGTTTACGTGTGCATGTCTGTCCCTCCATACACTGTGAGGACTCAAAGGCAGAGAGATTGCCTTTGTTAAACCCAAATCACCCTAGCAAGAGATGTTCTTCCTTCCCCTCCTAACAAGACCAGTTGGCAGAGGGCACATTAAACAGTGGCGAGTTGGCATCTCTTCGAATGTCTGCATACTTCAGTTGCCCCTTTGGAGCTGTATACTAATCAAGAGTCACTTGCATTTATTCCCACACCTACATGCCAGTTTTGATAGTTATTATAAGTATGTAACTTCATTAGATATTAAACAAACAATAAATGAATGCAGCTGAAATGAAAGCTTTATTTTTGAAAATTTATCCCAAAAGTTTTGGGAAAAATAGAGACAAAGTACACACACACACACACACACACACACACACACACACACACACACATCAAATAAATCATGGGGAAAAGCACTATACACAATCAAGGGGGGAATCTTAAACATTTAGAGGATTAAGTCTTTTCTCCATTTTAAGGAAATCACAGTTGAAAAGCTGCATGAAGATATGTTTGTGTTTTTTTTTTTCAAGAAGAGCAAGGTAGAGCTCCAAACAATAGTCTCAGAGTTAAAAAAAAAAAAAAAAAGTATTGGCTTTACATCAAAAGATTGGCAAATTAATTCATTAAAATAAAATATTTAAAAATAGCCTTTTAAAGCTTTCCCATCTTTAATCTGCTTTTCAACAGGAACTAACAAATCTGTGATGAAAGACCTTCTGCTGAACCCTGCCCGGCCCTCAACCTTTGCAACAAACACTGGGTAAAAAAACTGGAGCCGGACAAACTAGGGAACAAGGTGGTTCCCTTCTGAAAAGAAAACTGAAATGTGAACCCAGGTGCTACCTGTGACCACGAGTCACCTTGTAGAGGAAGCTGGAAGGAATCAAGGATGCCAGATGGAGCCAGAAAAGTCTGGGTTGCCGAGTACTACTCCTAAGGACAGGCACCCACCCTCCATCTAGGAGTGCTCCCACAACGGCATCTTTTCTTTTTGCTTACATTCGTGCAAGTTGGGTTTCTATCCCATGCAGGCAAAAATAGTCCAGTAATATAAAAAATAAAAGACATCACTACTTCATATATCGTCATTATTGCGGAAGTTGTTAGTTGACTCAACAAATATCGTTGGACGTCTCCTCTGTGCCAGACCGTGAGGAGATGAACAGACCAGACCGAAGGCCAGGCTCTCATGGAACTGAAGGCGCGTGTGCTGATGGCTGGAATGAATTGCAAATGTAAATGTTATGCTTATACCACACTAACACTTATATCATAATATAGTTGTTTCCATCATGCATGAATGGTTACTAGGTCCAACATGGACATTAAAGGAAGTTAGAATATGTTCAAGGGAGTAGCCTAACCCTGTCGAATGCCAGTGAGTCCAACGGCGCCTAACTCATAGCCCTGTGCCGTTGTCAAGTTTAGAATTCGGTATTGGAAGAACTCTGACTTAGTAAGTAAGGCAGTGTCTTACCTTAGCATGATAGAAATATACAAAGAGACCTCATTTGGCTTGGTTGCTGCTCTAGGAGAGTGCTTTAAAATTTCAGAACTGGAAGGGGCCTTCTTGGAGGGAAAATAAAGCACAGAGAAATTAAGCCGTTCACTCACTGTCGGGCAGACTCTGCGTGCCGCAGATCGCAGCCAGATGTCAAGATACCTGGGAGGCCACACTCAGTTGGAAGTGTATCACAGTAGTTTGTTGCTACTAATAAAATAGTGACATTTGGATAGTGGGAGAGAAGTGTGTCAGTCTATTCCTGGGGAAGTGAGTCAGGAATTGCACACTCCCAGGAAACCCCGTGGGGAAATCAATATTATGCAAATCAGTAATATGAGCGTTTCCTGTCACTGGGGACAAAAAAGCAGAAAATCAGGTCCGTTGGTAGAAAATTTAGGACTGGAACCTAGCATCCTGAGTCTTTTCAGAGCGTTCTGTTTTTAAATCAACTTACAATAAAGGATCAGATCGACATCAAGGAGGGAGAAAATTTAACATGTGGTTATTAATGGCCCAAGGGAAATAAATAAACCTCTATCAAATGAAGCGCAGTCTGTGACATCTGCAGACCCCTGTCTTCCTCCGTTCCTCACAGAGTAATTGCACTGATCTGGAGGGAATTTTATTTTTATCCTTTCTAACTTAACTTCTGCTTGCTGTAGAGGAGGTTAATGTCTTGCCTAAACTTGAGCTTCGCAAAGTGGTATTAGTACCCACCAACTAATGTCTTATTCAAATACCTCAGATGAAACAAAACATCATTGACTTGGCCCTGCTCCTGTACACCTCAATTTTCAAAAGCTTTCAGTGTCAATTACCTCTCACAACAAAGCAGTCCACAAGCCTCTTGATAATGCTCAGAATGTCATCTCATCGATCCAGGTCTGTTTACACTACACTGTCAAATCCAATTCTTTGTAGTTAGCACTGAGAGGTAGCCTGCCTTAATCCTGAAATTCCTGAAGAAAATAAGCATCTCAGAAGGAAACCTGAACTTATTAAAACCAGCTTCCAATCAAAATGTCCAGTAGCGATGGAGCTTCCTGATTCATTTCATGCAATACATGTTACTCAGCAGTTTCAAGGATGTATTTTCCAGACTATGGTAAGATCTAACCCTCATTAGAGAAAAAAAAAAACGAATAGAATGCAATTCATACAATATTAATAACTTGCTCTACTTTACAGCTTCGTAATAAAGTTATTTATGCTGCCAGAGGCATCTCGTGACATTAGCAGTGGAAAGATAGCAGTAGACGGGCGGGCCAGGCCTGTGCCTTTTACAAATGGCAGAAAAGCAGCACCTCCTTGCAAAGCTGCAGAGCGGGACTGTGGCCAAAGGAAATAACCCCGGGACAAAATCTCTTTACTACACACAGAAGGAGAGAGAGTCTAAATCAATCTCTGTCCTACCTTTTGGAATAAACGAATAGCAAAAAATTATAATTTAGATTAACATAGCCTGGGCAAAGATCACCTGGTTGCCACACCACAAGTCTCTTCCCTGGATGAAAAATATTTCCTCCCAGATTTAAATTATACATTGCACGTAGCTCCTCTTATGCCAGCACCAGTTAGGTTCTCAGCCAGGCTAGCCCCCCACACATAGATGTACTTTTTAATCTTTGATTATGCGCTGGTTTATATTCTATTATTTTATTTTGTATTATTTGTTCTGTATTATGTTTCCTATATTCAATTCTAAGCACCAGAAAGCAACCATCACATCTTATCCAGGGCCTCTGTAGCTCCCATAGCACCTGACACAGTAGTAAATTGAAGACCAATGCTGAATTGTAAATAAAGAAATATGATGCCAAAGTGTTGTCTGATAAATGGTTATAATATGGTCATTTCTTATGATTAGATCTAGGATGTGCAAACAGAAGAAAGTGAAGGCATAAATAATTCAAAATAGATCATTGGAAAGTCATTTAGATGTTACTTGGAAATGCATGAAGGCTCGCCACAATTTTCTTGCCATTTATAGACTGGCCAACGAATGGTGAGTTGTGTGCTGCACTAAGAGAAATGATGGGCTGGGCAAGGAAAATATTTGTCCTATTTTGTCGGCCCAACATTCATCCCCTGCTTTCTTCCAGCATCCTAATATCCTCCTAGGTAATTATCTCCCTTATTATGTGCAACCCTGTTGGGAAAGTGAATCGAGGTATCACTGGAGGCTCCTTCAACTAATTTCCTTGTGAAAGTTGCCTGGTGTAGCTAAGGGCTGGTACGTCAGTTACATTCAGCCAATCAGCCCCTCTTTTCAAGGGCCTTGAATTTCAGGCCATGTTATACAAACGCAGAAAAGAAAAAGAACATTTCAAGGCTGGCACATTCGTGGGCGTTCTTCAGAATCTGCTTCTGAGAACTTACACATTGCACATAGTGTACTTCTTAGGTCCCATAAGTCCCGAACAGGGGTCTTGTGATCTACCCATAGTTTCTAAGGAATTCACTTTCCAAAGAACTTAATAATTGAGTTATTTTCCAACACACTCTAAAAACTATCTTAGGCCAATGCTTCCCTGAGAAATGTAGAAATAGCAAACCAGGACACAGACATTGTATGCCACAGGGGTAGAGTTAGAGCTAGAGTGCTGTGAGTTAGCATAGAGGCCAGAGAAGAGATGGAAAGTGAGCAGAGACTGTTATTATTCATTAGTTAGAGATAAGAGGGAGGAAAGATGGTTGACTCACAGAGTGGAAAAAAAAAATGGATAGGAATCATAGGAAAAGCAGATATGCCATGAAGGTACACAACTCTGAAACCTCTGGGTTGGCCTGGCTTCCAGTGGTGGTCCAATTCCCAACCCTGTTTCCCAGGAGAGTCCCCTGTATATTTCCCTGGAATTTCATCACTTTAATAAGACCCTCTAACTCATCCAGAGCTTTCAAAAGGAAAGTACAGTGGTTAAGGCATGAGCTTTAGCGTCTGACTTCCTACATGAAAACCTAGTTCCATTCAGTTTTCCCTCCCTTCCCCATTGTCCTCCGCACTATTCCTTACGTTCTACATATGAGTGAAACCATATGATGGAATTGTCTTTCTCTGCTGAGGGAGAGAAACCATGAGATTCCAGGAAACAAACTGAAGGTTAGAGAAGGGACGGGGTGGGAGGACGGAGTAGCCTGGTGATGAGTATTAAGGAGGGCACGTGTCGTGATGAGCACTGGGTGTTATACACAACTAAAGAATCATTGAACACTACATTAAAAACTAATGATGTACTATATGTTGGCTAACTGAACGTAATAAAAATTAAAAAAAAAAAAAAGAAAACCTAGTTCCGGCACTTATTATTTAAATTTCCCTAACTGTAAATTAAGGCACATAACAGCTACCTTATAGGGTTTTGATGAGGTTTCAGTAAGATAATCCAAGTATGATGCTCAGCCTACTGACATTCAGATATATCAGATTACTCACATCTTCAAATTCTCCCGACCTCCCACCTCCCAGATAGCCCACGTTGCTGGGAGAGCTAGGTCCTCCCCGCTGGATGCCCCAGGCAACTGTACCAAACTTCCTGAGCGGTCACTGAAGGTCCCTCATGATGCAACCTGCAAGGGAGAGGGAGTCAGACCCCCAGGAACAAACTGATCAATGGGATGAGAGGGAGCCGGGCAGATCCCCTCCTCCTTCCCACATCCCTGGACAGCTCTAAAGCACAGTTTCTCCATGGGACCTGTCTGGAGAAGTCTCTAGAAGACATGCTGTGTCTTGTCACAGGTCCCACGAAGCAGCAGCCAAGGTGGGAATACATCACATCCCATGATTCATCTTTCTTTGCAGTTTCCCGTCTTCCCCACCCTGGCTTCCCTGGGTGTGCCTCTCCCAAATCGACTTCAGATTTTAACATTCCTGCTTGCTTCAATCTCTACTTTCTAGAAAACCCAGTCTAAGATAACTATTATTCACATTATTATTATTCTTGAACTAGCTTGATCAGGACTCTATTACCTGAAACCACAGGATCCAGAATAAAACAATGAGGCAGAGTACATTCTGGATACTAAGAAATAGGTGAACTGCTCTACCACTCAGGGCTGAGACCTAAAGATTTTTTTTTTTTAAGTTTGAAGGTAATTCTGAAGAATAAAATTAAATAATTCTTAAAACAGTTCACAAATAATATGCAAAGAGATGTTTTTTGGTAAAATATAGATTTTTTTTCATATATATAAATATTTGAGTGAAAATCTTAGGGAAATAAATATTTAATCAGAGAAATATAACACTTATTCATTCTTTATTCTCTCCTTGAGGAAACTTTCTTAGGCCATTTACCTATTTCTTCCCCACACCATGATATTCAAAGTCATTCTCTTGAAAAGAAACATTTGAAGGATGATGGTTTACATAGAACATGATGTTATGAAGAGTATATAGTAATACTTTAATATAATAGTTGATATGAAAGATCATTTATAAATTATATGTTGTAGATCTGTTTTAAAATACGAAAATTCATCTTAAGCCTGAAAAAAAGATGTTGACAACGATAGCTGTTGGCTAGTAACTAAAAGGTAATCTTAGAGTGGTGACTAGGGTATGGACCTTGAATTCAGTTAGAATGGGCTCACATTCCTGCTCACTACTTTCTAATTGCATGTCCAGGGCCAAATTACCCTACAGTCCTAAGGTTTAATTTTCCTCTCTTTTATGATAGATACAAGAATAATACAGGATAGGTACACATTAGATATAGAGAGATATAAGATAGGATAAACAAATACAGGGATCATATAGGATAGATGGCATAATAGAACTATCTCAAAGGGCCATTGTGAGGAATAATTGAGGTCTTATCTCAATAAATATTACTGTTACTCACCTACTTGCTCGTCCTTGATTTCACTCTTTCATATCTTTCCCTCGTCTCCTCCACCCAATGCATCACGGTTCCTATCAGCTCTCCCTCCAAAACGTATCCTTCACCCACTCTCTTCTCCTCTACCTCCATTGATAACATCAAAGCCACCATCATCCCCTGCCTATAATATACAAATAACGTCCTAATTATTCCACTCTTCTTCCCATAAAATCCATTATCTACCCCACAACCAAGTGATCTTTTATAGCACAATTTGCATTATGTCACTCCCTACTTAAACTCTCCAAAGGCTTTGAACTGCACTTTCCATTGCGCTTAAAAACTGGCGCTTATTACCATCACCTACAAGTTCTCATGACCTTGCTTTTGCCTGCCTTCCTATCTCCTCTGCTGATCTTCATCCCTGGTTCATGTCACTGAACTCTTGCACAGACACTGAACTCGAGCACATACATTAGCAGTGGAAAGATAGCAGTAGATGGGCGGGCCAGGCCTGTGCCTTTTACAAATGGCAGAAAAGCAGCACCTCCCCGCAAAATACATCAAATCCATTCCTGCCCCAGGATCTTCATGTCTGCTCTTCCCTCTGCTGGAACGCTCTTCTACAGGTCTTTGCATGGCTCACCCCTTCTTATCATTTGGGTTTTTTTTTAAATGCTACCTTCTCAGACTTAACCACCTTTTCTTTTGTAGACCCCACACCATCATGCTTTATTCCTCTTTGCTGTATTATTTCCTCAAATGACTTAATTGCTACACACACAGTCAAGGAATCAGATTCTCTGGCTAAGAGAATAAGGCTAGTGGGAAATCTTCATTAGTTCTCTAAGTAATTGAAATAACTTTCCAACCCAAGCCTGAGTGATCTAAAAAAGTCCATGAAAGTCCCTGAAGGAAAGAAAAAAAAGCTAGTCATCTGCCTGGAAACACTAAGCCTCCCCACCAGACACCACCCGTGCCATCCACAGCCACCACCTGCTGTAGTGAACGCTGGTTCCCACTGGTGCAAACTCCAACATGGTCCAGATCCTGCCAAAATAATTAACTTACACCAAAGAAGTGGACTCAATATCAAACAAAGGGATTTTAAAAGTTAAACCACAAGTTAAAAAGTGCATAGCTGCTGACACTAAGTGGGTAAACTGCTTTGAAATTGGTGTTGAATTGGCATTGGGTTCATAATGGGGCTTGATTATTTCCACATGGTATTTAACAGGCACATAAAATCTCACTAATATGAAAGAAATGTATTTTAAATGCTGGTTGACAGGGAGAAGAATACTTTAAATCACTAAAAAATGCAAAAAGGAATTTTATGGCAACTGAAGTATATTATCTCAGAATATTGATTAAAAACTCTTCAAATAAGGGAGACTAGCTTAAATGACTACTTGATATTAATATGCATCCAGCTGATTAGGATGGAGCCTTTTTTGTTTGTATAAAAACTATTTTAGACTTTTAAATAAGCTTGAATTACGTTTGAAACCTTCCAGCAATACATTTACCAGAGATTTCCAAGACTCCTTGACTAGACATCATTTGTTGTCTGGATTAATCTCTAACATCTGAACCCTTCTGCCTTTGCATTGTGGCTAGCCCATCCTGCTCTGTCCTGTTGGAGTTGGGGACAGAAACATGAACAAGTACCAAGTACTCAGCATAGTTTGATTGCTAACATCTTAGCCTTGGGAGTCAGATCCTCAGGATTCAGATCCTGGTTGGGCCCCTTAATAGCTGTGTGACACTGAGCAAATTACTAAATCTTTCTGTGACTTTGTTTTCTCCTCTGTGAAATACTACCTACTTCGAAGGTTGAGAACCAAAACAGACAAACAAAACAACAACAAAAAAAGAAAGAGCCCCATCAACAGGGTCAGCCAACTAAAAAAAAAAAAAAAGAAAGAAAGAAAAGAAAAAAATTCACCTAAATTTTGCATTGATGTTCAATCTCCACACACCTCAAGCCTCCTTCCAGGCCACTGGCTCGAGTAATGTGTACCAGCTTCTTCCCTCTCTCCAATGAGCTCTGCTTTGAACAGCGCCTGGCACAAAGCAGACAATAAATGTTGAGTGACACTAGCTCTCATCTAGATTCCTTAAAAGCAAACTTATTTCCACAAACCACATGGGGGCCCCAAGACACACCAGGACTAGCATCCAGTCTAAGATTTCAGGTACAGGTGAGCAACAGCATTCAGACTATAGGAGACATACTGTCCTGCTAAATGTGTGCCTGTCTGCTTGGACCACATAGTTACAGCCATTAGCAATAAAAATAGCTCCACTTACTGATTCTACTGTGGGAAGGCACTGTGCTTGTCACTTATAATATGATCTCATTTAATCTTTGCTTTCATCTTTGCATTACTGTGGGAGAAACAAAAATGTCAAGACAACCTCTGATGTTGATTATCTTTAGGAGAAGATAATTTCATTTCCCAAGTTTCTCAACTAAATTGGGTTTTTCAGTTCTTTGTGTCAGGATTTGATAGATACAAAATGATTCATTATTCAATTCTGTGCCTACTCAATAGTTTTATGAGAGAACTACAATCTTACAAAAAAGCCAGGATGTAAAGTGTGCCCAAATTTCACTTTTTATTGAAGTTTGAGAAACATAACTAAAAGTGCACACAAACTAACTGTACTGCTTGTCATGTTTCCACAAACATGTGGAAGAAAGTGGTGGAAGAATTACAGCACACAATGCACTGCAGGACTTCTGAAGACAGTTCTCTCTCTAACATCCCACTGTCATGGCAACCGCCCCACTTCCTCAGGACTCCCCTTTCTGTTCTCCTCTCTGCCTTATACCCCCCTTCCTTTCTTTTATCCTTTGTGTTGACTTCTGGGCTCTCCCCACCCCGTTCCTCATCCTGGACAGTACTTCTCAAGTCCGAGACAGACTCTCTAGCCAAAGAACTGGTCCTTCCTCCCTAGAAGTGGGAGGAACAGCAATTCATAAACGTTATAACTTAATATTTCCCCTTCATACTTGTGTGGTGGGTGATTTTGAGTATTAGGGTGTGTACCATACTCTTAGTTTTCACCCGTCTCCTGTTCCAAGCTAGTAGCGAGGCCCTAGTGATTCCTTGCCATGAACATCTTGGCCTTGGAAAGCCAAACCACCTGTAGCCACGGGCCTTTTCACTCTTGCAGACTCCTAAGTCCTCAAAAGAGATGGTGCTGGGAGTCGTGGAAGAGAACAGGAGAAGAATAGTGCCCTTGAGAATCATCCATGCTGAGAGAAGTGATTCCTTCTCATGAAACCAGAAGAGGATGAGCAATCTGAGGCTCTGCGAGGGGCAGCAACCTGTGCTGCGCTCTGCGGCAATTCCAGAAGGAGGGGAGTGCCATGGCTGGTCTATACATGAGGCCTTTGTGCTGACGGGAAAACGCACCCCTCTGGGCAGATGTAAGCCAAAAGGAACCCAGCTTTCGAACAAATGGTGTCTTTGTCCAGAGTACAATGAATCAGCCCCCTACCAGGGCACAGGGCCTGGGGAGCAGAGTGCAGCCTGGTTCTAAGCCCCTCTACCCCCTTAATCTTGTCCTTTGTCCAGGGCACAAAGTGCACCACCATGCACAGTGTCCCTGCAAAAATGTAGCAAGACCTCAACAACATGGCTCCGTGGTGTGCCTAGACTGGAGAAGGGGTTGGCAGCCTTGGGCTCACCACAGAACAGAGAGCCATGAAACTCCAAAGAAGCATACCTTTTAAATTTTCGCTTCGATATGTCAGCTGGGACCGTGATGGCCTAGCAAGTAGATGCCCTTTTCCTCACCCCACACCCTGTGAACCTCCCAGATGCTATGATCCTAAGAGAATCACTGATTGAGATTGGGTTTCCTGGAAGTCTGGTGAGGTTGGACTCAGTCTGTTTAATCTCATTTAAAGGCAATAAGAACTGAGCTGTTTCTTATACACTTGAGTTTATTGTCTATACCTGTCACACCTAAATTACAGTTTCTTTAAAAAATAAACCTACTTTTGATTAGTGAAACTATAAAATCCAACTTGGAGAATGACAGTGAAATTACTCTTGTGTAGGTCTAAATAAGTAGATTTTTATTTAGTCCATGTGAATATTAGAATACAATCTTAAATATGAATGTAATCCCAGACAATTTTATATGACATGGTACCTAACAAGAGGCTGGAATGTTTATCATATGTAAAACATGGGGAGTTCAAGATTATAATGAGTAAAGGTCTGACATTTCCAAGTATTCACATGGGTTTGTTTGTTTTTTTTTCAAGATTTCATTTATCCATTTTACAGGAGAGAGACACAGCGAGAGAGGGAACACAAGCAGGGGGAGTGGGAGAGGGAGAAGCAGGCTTCCCACGGAGCAGGGAGCCCGATGCGAGGCTCGATTCCAGGATCCTGGGATCATGACCTTAGCCGAAGGCAGACGCTTAACGACTGAGCCACCCGCCACCCAGGCGCCCCTTCACATGGGTTTTTAAGCAGATTACTTTTCAATATTTTCCCTTTGTTCTATCGCTTTTTAGATTGCTTTTTTTACTGAGGGGAGATGATCCATGAGAGACTATGGACTCTGAAAAACAAACTGAGGGTTCTAGAGGGGAAGGGGTGGGGGGAATGGGTTAGCCTGGTGATGGGTATTGAAGAGGGCACGTACTGCATGGAGCACTGGGTGTTATATGCAAACAATGAATCATGGAACACTACATCAAAAACTAATGATGTAATGTATGGTGATTAACATAACATAAAAATAATTAAAAAAATAGATTGCTTTTTTTTAAACCTGAGAACCAGAAATATCTGAAATGCTACAGATGTCATATTAACACATACTCTGAACTGTTTGCAAGTGTCTGCAATTAAAATGTTTATTTTCGAACACACAGTGCTTATTTGTGTTCATGACACCAAACAATGGTACTTGAATAACATATAGCCTGATTTTGAGACAGCCAAATTAATAATGATTGAAATTTAAAATTAACTTTATAAGTTATTGTGAGGTATTATAATCATAGTCAGAAACATTAAAAGACACGTAAGAAAAATTAAGCTAATGTTTTTCTCATTTAACCTAAAATAAGTACAATTTTCTAAAAGCTTTTGCTTGTGAATAAAATTCTAGATGACAAAATAAATAGGAGTGAATAAAATCATAATAGATTGTAAGAGTGGCAAAAATCTGATACCTCAATTATGCTGTAGATTTTTAGGTATCTTTCCTTTGAAGAGTTCAAAGAACTTGAAAAGGGATTATCTTAACAGATTCCATTTTCAGAATGATAAAAAAGCAAATATGACTCTCCCCAATGCATAAAGAAGGAAAGTGGAGCACAAAATTTTAATAGATTCTTCAGGACCACAGTCATCCATTAAATTATTCATATACATGGATACTTTAATGCCTCCATGTTTTTCTTTTATCATAGGATTCTTTTTCCTCATTTGCTCTTCTTCAAAATTCTATTTGTACTCTAAGTCCTAACTGAAATATTACCTCTTCCATCAAACCCTCCATGATCCTCAGGCAGAAATAACTGACCACGCCTGCTGTTATTCACCAGATCCATTTGCTTTAATTACTGAAACTTACCCTTTCAGATTTTGAAGAGGTTTCTTAAATTATGCCTAAATACAAACCAAGAAGGAATCAAAAATGTACCAGAATTGTTAGCCATGATTATGCGTGGGAGTTGTACTGTCTATAACTTTTTAACTTTATATTTTCAAATTTTCTCTAAATGTCATGTAATTTATAATTGGAAAAAGCAAAACAAAACAGAATGAATGGGTCAAAAAGACATAGGAAGTTTTTTGAACTGTCGCTTTAATTTGCAGCTAGGAAAAAGCAATGCTCCAAGACTAGCTGTAGATACAGAAGAGACATCTAAGGAGAGGAAAGAGAACTTTGAGTAGAGGAGAGACCAAAAAGCTCCCCCTGACACAAAATGTTACCTCCTTCACATGTTATATCTAGATGTGACTCTGTTCCCCAGGCAGCTTGGCAGACCACAGAAGACCCTGGGAATACCTGTGTTGGTTTCGAGAAAGTATAAGACAATATGCCAAATAGACAGATGTCTACTGGGAAAACCAGTCTTTCTTCCTTAATAAAATGGATAGAGAGGAAAAAGCCTTCTTGGGAGAAGAAGTAAGACATAGTGAGGAATCCATCTAAAATGGCTAGTGCCCAACTAAAGTTTCCTGCTTTCAAATGGGAAATCGAGTCCGGAGAAGACCAACAATGCCTGCTTATGTGTCCTGGTTAGGAGGGAAAGCCAAAGTGTTGACCAGAGAGGCCCAAGAACACAGCAGCTTCAAGAAAATGAAGTGTATTTCTCCCTCATAACTGGGGTGAGCAGCCTGGGCTGGTGGGCAGCTACATAGACTCTGTTAGGCCCCTCTTCATCTACATAGTCTCTTCACCAAAGGGCAAGAGTTAGGAAACTGCAGGCCTGTGAGCCAAATCAACCGATTAACTGTTTTTATAGATAACATTTTATTGGAAACAACCATGCCCATTTGTTTATGTGTCATCTTTGGATGATTTTGTGCTGTAAGGCAAAGACTGTCTAGTCACAAAACTGAAAATAGATACTATTTGGCCCTTCACAGAAAAAGTGTGTCCACCTGTGCTCTGGGGTATTGACCTTACTGCATGGTGGAAGCTGGATCATGGGAATATTTAAGTTCCTAACTTGTGAAAGAAAAGGAACACACACCCATGTTATAAGGCCCTCACCTGGGAGCAGGACATGTCGTTTCTCTCGCATTCTACTGCAAGAACCCAGGTACAACTCCTCAAGAGTGGGAAGGAGGCTGGGAAGTGGGTCTCTGGCTGAGCAACCATGTGTCCACCTACAATTTTATCCCAATGAAACAAAGAGGATGAATTTTGGAGGACAGCCAACAGTCTCCACTACGTGGTGTGTCTGTTTTGCCCCAGTGCCTCAACTTCGATCACATAAAGTAGCATATATCCACCTGTGTGCATGTCAAAGGCAAATGATCACATTTTTATCCACACAGAAATGGATTTTTGCTACAAC